ATTGAAGTGAACATTGGGTTTGATAGCGGGATAAATTAATGTCGAAAAACGTTGTCGATGTAATCTAGAGCACTTGGTTCTTATTTTGCTCTATACAGACTGAAATATTTCTCTCTCACATTTACATTTTGAATACCCTTTGATAATTTGCGTGATTAATAAGACATATGAAAAATCTGTAGAACGTAAATCACATGAAATGAATTTTAATAAGGAACATACATAATTAAGAAATGTCCGCAGAACCGTTTTGTTTTTCCAAATGTTTTCATATTTAGATATCTGTCTGTTCATGGTAAAGTCTTAGTACTTTGTATACATGAAAGGAGAAAGGCATGCTTTAAATGGCATCTATCCACGAGTAATAAGCATTCTTAACAGAATCTAATTTCGTTTTCTCACACTTCTCACAAATAAATCAGAGTTAAACACAAAGGATGCTTTAGCATGGAGATAACGATAGACTGTCGAGAACCGCTTTTATATGGCACAAACAATGTAACACATTCAGAGAACACATCAACAAGACCTACTGTTCTAGGATAGGATAATCAAATTCAAATAAAACCCTTTAATTTGTCAATTAATATGTTAATTACTACAGCAATTAATACCAGTTCAAATATTGTAATTGAACATTTTTGTCATTTTCTGTATGAATGTAAATTGAATAGTTAATTTTATTTCTGAAATGCAATAATGATTAAATGTGTATAGAAGCAAAGAAACAAATTTACATAAATCACTGTCTTACTCAAGTCAATTAGGACTGCACTCTCGGATGCTATTTCTATTCATGAAATGCATTCATACGATTGAAAATTGTACTTGTTAGAACGATACGACAAAGGGAATTTCCATTACTGGATTACATTCCAGAATGAAGAAAGCTACTTTTGATATCAAGTCAATATGTTCTGATGTATTTCGTGTTATTTAACGAGATTGATGCGTGCAGAGAGATACATAGTTTAACAAAGATAAGACAGTTTCATTTTCTCCAGCAGCCGTTACTGTCATCAATTAATAAAGGAACATTTTATTTGCTATTGGTACGGAAAAAACCCTACTATAAGCTGAAGGAAATCTGATTGGAATTGCTTTTCAACAGTCCAATCACGGAGCACGGAATGTCAAGTACAAAGTACGATTCAATTCAATATACATATCGGGATTTTAGAAAATATCTTTAAATTTTAATTTTATATCCTGTCTTTTTCAGCTTTTCTTATTCCATCTGGCACAGTTAGGCCTGGAATCACATCCATGTTGTCTTTTGATTTCAATTACATCGGAATTTTGTGCAAACTGTTCCCAGCTAATTCTTTTCTTTATTTGTAGCTGCTGGTGATAAAAACTCTCAATGAAACATAGTGCACTAAATGAAAGCTTTTCTTTGTAAAATGACTGAAATCCTAGAACTTTCATCTTCATGCTTTATCATGCAGGTTATGCATAAACGAAATAGGATGGTATTACTGAGGAGGATAGAAGATATTTTGTATTGTTGCTGCAATGAAGGGTAACGACTTAAATTGTATCAAATTGACATATACAAATATCTTAGCTGTAAAGCAATAAAGAAAATTATGTCAAGTCAATAGAACTTTAAACCAAAAATCGATGAAACGTAAGCCTTTTTAGCAAACGAAAGATTTTCACATGGAGACCATTGATAAAGTACAAGACCACAGGTTACTGCCAAAATAAGAATTACTTGTAACAACATTACGATAAAAGTTATTAAAACTATTAGAATCACAATTGAGGGATAAGGTATCAATACAATTATATATCTATAAATTTATAAACTGTTGTCTGAACCTCACAGATGATGAAATTTGACAGGCATCGATAGCCGTTAAATTTGATTTTAAACCACGAGAAGTTGATATCTTGTCATTATCGATATAACTATAATGATGCAATGGGACAGTAATTAATCATGCATCTAATGATACAGATTTTCCACTACATACTTTGAAATAACTACAGATATTTCACTTCATGCAGACAGTTGTGAAACGTATCTGAATCTGCATCATCGAAGGAGTTATTGCTGTAATCAGTCCAATCTAACACGGTAATGAGGAACAGCGAGGATAATTTGATTTTCTGAAATACTCTTCGATCCCATGAGGTTAGTTAGTTTATGATAAACGAATAATGATTCTATCCGTGTATTAGGTTATATAAAATTAACGCTAGTGTAATATTGTATTATATCGCTCTAACACATGCTTTATCATCATCTTCTGGCCTTGATTTTGTCTTGGAGTGATGGTGTTCCTTGCGGGTTAGTGTTGTCTTGCTGAATTGACATGAACCGATTTATGATTATCTGTCCTATCATTGAATACATTATACTATATCTACCTGGCCGGGTTGACCAATTCTATTTTACTTAAGTGTTTGGGAAAACTAAGAAATGTAATGAGGTTTGAACTTATTCTGACTGTCGTGAAGGTCATCAAAAGATTTAGCCATAAAGACACGACTACATTCCAAGATATTAAACCTATTGTGTACCTTTCAGATGAAACAATCGCCTATAACACTAATACTGGTGATGTAATACAACCCAGAACAATTCTGTTCGCCTCTAAATAACGCTTCCAACAAAAACACATTAATTATAATTACATGTCGGCTTTGTTATTTTTCCATAGAACGACAACGAAGCTTTATTTAGCTATGTATGTACGTATGTTGTCAACTACAGCTGATTTCCTTTACTTTTGCGTCCACACTGCCATTCTGGAAATGTGTTTCTCATAAAATTCTTTTGAAAGGTTATGCACATCTGCATGGGCAATTAGCTTCTCCTAAAATCATTCTCAAAGGATTTGCAGATATCCTGAGAAAGAGAATGAACAATGTTTAAAATAGTGTTTTTATCTTATCAATTGTCTGATGACTGTCGTGTTGTTGCGTGTGACATTTCACTCTATGCTGACCTGGCGTTTCACTGATTTGACACTATACTGAGACAGTTCCTATAAAACTTTGACAATGACGCTTTATAGTGAAGTACATGTACAAGGCATTCCTACAGCCACTAAAACTACCAACAAACCATACACAGGGAACGATGTATTATAGATGCTGTGGTATATCTATCAAGATTAATTTAGTTTACAACAAAGAGTACAGTTCTAAGACGTTTTGACTATCACAATTACATCCGTCGTGTAATAAATGGACAATTACACTATTGGGTAAAACAGCTAACAACTTTATACCATATATGGCAAGATGTTTCATTACATTACGTCTTTAATAACGTAATTAGTTTCCTCCACCTCCACTGTACGTAAGCTGATCTGCTGAATGCTTCGACCGCTGTTCGTTTTAAACATTCCCTAATGGCAATGTGAACTCTAATGCTCCCACACTATTATTACTATTTCCGCAGTGTGTTATGTGGCTTTGTTTAAAGAAAATGAACTGTTACTCAGTGATCAAGACGGTTATTACAAGGCAAATCAAAACCTTTGATTTGATACATAAACATATGAAATGTATATCGGTTGGTATTACATGTTAAGTGATGTTGACATTAATATTACTGGTTAGATTAGCAAATATTTAAATGGCGGCTGTCGTCAATAAAGCTAACTGCGCTTATCCTTACGCACTCCTGGTCTAAATATCCTGATGCGTGTTAAATAGTACCTATTTGATTTTTTCTTTTGTGCCTTTTGACCTCGCTTTATCGATTGAATTTTGATAACGAGTTTTCTGTCTTTCTTAATTATTTCCAAACGTTAATTCATAATTAACTTATTGTGTATAAAACATCAAAAACAAAACAATATACAAGTTATTTTACTTGTATATTGCGTTTGCACTTTCCAAGTAAATTGTCCCTTCCTGCTTGGGTACAAATCATGCCAGTTGCCTGCCTTCCTATTGATTTCACTAAATATATTCGTTCGATTGTGAGTGTTTCTGTTCTATGTTCTTAACACCTACGTTTATATTGAAATTACCAACACCTACATGATTAGTTATGATATTTTAATCCATCAGGTGTACAAACTACTACATACTCCCACAAATAACATGATTTTAGATTTATCTTTGTACTGTAACTTATAGTTAATCTTTAATATAGTTTATTTCACAAGTTCTTGAAAACAAACGTTATAACTAAATGCTGTTCATTACTACATACGCTGTTGAATACATAAACTAGTAATTTAAACAACACGGAAACAAAGGTGACATTTTGTAAGCGATCTTAACAAATGTTGTGTGGTTTTAACATCAAAACGAAGAGATGGGGATTATTCACTTCAAACATACAGTCTGTTTGTTAGGTTTATTGATAGGGAACCAATGTATCTTTACACTCGGCTCCTCCACTTGATCGATAAAGCAACTAATGGAGAATGAATTTAACTGGGAGTGTGACACATGAGAACTTCTGATTAATCATTAACTGGTAATTGTTTCAAATTATATCGACGAAACCGTCCTTATCTTAGTAAAATCATTTGTAATTAACGGTTCGTTATCTCGGAAACTGTTGTTCTCGCTTTTGCTGATATTTATTGTTATGATATATAACTGACTGTCATTATGTAGTGTTAACACCTCAATGTGTGTCAGTATGCATACATAGCTGACTATCAGCTGTACTGTATGTTAACACATCCTACCCATGTGTGCACTTTTATTCGTTACTTATAATCTACTTTAGGAATCTATTATGATATAATGCTTTGCCAGCACAATAACCCACCCCCCCCCCTCCCCCCTTGTAGATAACAGAATGTGGTTTAATGTGCTGATTCAGGGCCTTGCTTCTACAGATAACGTAACAGCATTGATATGCCAACTCAGGGCCATTACTGAGGGTGGTCCCAAATGAAACATTTCGACAAAAAGCCCGCCTGTTAATGTGCTTTTTCACTTAAACTTGAAGCATTGCCTCAGTAAAGCTTTCCATCAAATTTCTGTGCATAATGCTTTACTCGTTTTATTTTTCTTTCTAGGACCTGGTTTCTGGGGAACCATGAACAAATTAGAATGGGGCATCTGTCATAGAGGCAAGAATCAGTCTCCTGTCAACATAGTTCCAGAAGACCTATTGTTTGACCCTGGACTAAAACATATTCAGATATCGGGCAACAAGGTTAGTATTCAAGAGTAAATGCAATTGCTATAGTTAATTATATCAAACCAAAAGACTTAATAAATACCTCTGAATTACTAGGGTTTTGTCGATTCTATTCACTATGAATCAAGTATCATAACTCTGAGAATAAAAATAGGGAGGTCGGTATGTGACCTTCGATCACAAGTCAAAGAGAATTGTGAAAAAGACAGGAGGACAAAATCCCTAGCAAAGTAGTAAAGTTGTTTGCAGGTCAAAATCGCTGGCTAGGTTAATGATGAATAGGACGAGATCTCTCTTTACGTACTGTAGTTAAATGATTATCAGAACAAAATCCCAATATAGGTGCTGTAGTTTAATGATAAACAAAACTCTCTGACTAAACGATGCAGTTTACAGATAAGCAGAACAAATTCTATGGAAAAGGACTCTAGTTCCGTGACTAGCATATCAAAATCCCTAGTTTAGCACTGTAGTTGAACGATTAGCAGAACAACTGCCATGGAAAAGTACTGTAGTTAGGTGACTTGCACGACAAAATCCATGGCTTAGTACTGTAGTACAGTGATAAGTATGACAAATCCCCATGCTACGTAATTAAAAGGTCAGCAATGCAAAATTCCTTACATAGGTAACAGGTCTGGCTTTTAAATGTATATGTATCTTTCTTAAGTATATATGTGGTTCCCGGGGGAAATTTCTGAGCATTTAAATGGTTTGAAGGAAGAAAGTCTGTTGAGAAACTGTGAAATAGTAAGCAGACAAAACAATCTCTGGCAAAGAGAAAAACATTATATACTGTTCCTTATTATTTGTTTAACTGAAAGCAAATTTTGCCTGAAACTTTTTTTATCAAAGCATTACGCATTCTGGTAAAAATATTAAAAATTCGAAGTTGAAGTACATTGAAGGCGAATTTTAAAAACACGCAAGATGTCCCTACAGCGATATATTTGTTTATTTCGGTATCGAGATCAAAAATGCCCGCTAAAAGATGATAACACAACTCAAATTCCCCTAGTGAATATAAATAATGTGTTCAACAGCATTGACGAGCAAGGATGAAAACAAATGCAGTTCCATGAACTAATCTTTGCTTCATTCAATATATCGTGTTTTCATTGTATTTAGAAATTAGACTATTGACCAAGGAAATGAAAGTAGTTTAACATTTTAATTGTCGTACTGTTGTCTCTTTTTTCGTTAGGAACGGCTTGTAAATCCCTTGTACTTTATGTTTGCTCCCACACGATTGTTGTCATATCGTCTGACTTAAATATTATTGTCGCTTTGATTCCACCAAGTTCAGTGATGCTTTTCCTATGCTGAAATATTCTGATAGACCTTAGATTCGATGAGTGCTGATATGTGCTTAACCAGTTAAAATTATTTGACTCCAGGGTTCATCTTTAAGCGCAGATGTGATTGAAATGTGTTCTATCCATATTTACACTTGCGTGTTGATTCTGTTGAAATGTTATCTTATTTCCATACATGTACTTATGAATTTACACTTTCGCATTTACATGTTACGGTTTGCTGTTTGGATTTCTAAACATTTATTCGGTTCGTAATCAACAGGTCTCGTCGACAATGAACAACCTAGGTAACGCGTTGGTTCTGTACGTGAATTCGAGTCATGGCGATGAAATCCTATTCTCTATCGGTCCGCTGTCCTATACTTACCGACTTCATCAGATCCGGGTACACTTTGGCAGGGACGACTCCAGGGGATCAGAACACACCATTGACGGGAAAACATTTGCAGCCGAGGTACTTCAAGGAAATAACTCGAAAACAACTAGGACTCACTTTGAGTTACTAAGGCTTTAATTAACGTCAGATTGTTCTAAATTTCTGATAACATTCAACTCCCTGCTGCTGACACATACCAACAGCGTTGTTCCCATGTTTTTGATACGTCAGAAATCAATGATACACTAGCTACCATAATAAAGCATTACTTTTGTGATTATGTAAATCAATGGATATTATACATATGAATAATGTAAGCTAACAATTACATTTTGTTTACCTTGTTTACAGATACAGTTTCTTGCCTATAACACAGATTTATATCACAATTTTTCACAAGCCGTGGTGTCGCCACGTGGTATAGCCGCCATTGCTGTATTTGTACAGGTGAGATAAATTGATCTTCTTATATATCGATAGAGGAGAGACAAACAACAGTTTCAATGAGCAGTTGTATCTCGATTTGCATCATCGACAAAAATCACCCAACACTTTAGAAAACTTAATGTAGGATAAAATAGCGTATACAGACAGTGTGCAGATAATGCGTTGACTATGATAACACATTGTCTTTATGTAATGTGCTACGGAGAATGTAACAAACATAATCATGGTAAAACCAGCTACAGTTCCACATGCTTGACCATGAAATAAACATTCAGATAGGTAGCGAGTCCGTCATATAATCACACTAAACAGAATGATATGAAGGTTGCATCGCTTCGAACTCGCCTTTTTCATAGGTAATTTTGACAAATGGGCATAAAACAGCATTCAATAGCATGTCCTTTCAAATTAAACTTTAATTTGTCATACAAAAAGGCTGATAGTTTCATTGCGCGGTACACTGCTCGCGACAAGACCTCATCTGGCAGTGTTTTAAATACTGTCAATTTGTTCTGCTGAAAGCCTCGTACTGCATTTTAACTTTGACAAATGTATTGCAGTATTGAGTTGACAGTAGATTCTGGACAAATTGTTTTTCCTTGGATTTTGTATGATACCACGTCTGAAGAACAACAAGGACGCCAACATTTGGTTACTTTGGTTTGCTGTCGGTATCGCGACTTTCGTGAAAGATGTCGGAAACTTATTTACAATATAAGGTTTCGAGTAGACAAATAATTTTTACGCTCGGCAAAATGATGTTATTATGAAATAGTTTGTATCCTTAAGCGATATGGACAGATTTGCTGCTCGTTTAGATACTGTTGGTTCCGTTGTTCATTTGCTGTGTTCATCTCCGTTGGAACAGAAGACGTTTACTCTTCCAGAACATTTGGTCTTATTCTCCTTGTACTTTTTCTCGTGTGAATCTTTCTTTTGCTCTTATTTGGCCCTAGTTTCAATTGTAATTAATTATGTTGACATGTTGTTATTTTATTTGTTTTTGGCTGTATGCATAAGCCCGTCCTCCATTGTTCAAGCCTATGATAACGTCAACATCGGATAAAGCTAGCCTTGAAAGTTGTTATGTTTTTATGACGTCTTTCGATTAGTGGTGACTGTTACGACACCACTATCTCATTCTGATATTTAAAATGTATATGTAGAATGTATATTTGTACAAATTTTGGAAAATAAGATAAAACCTATTCAACCACTTACAGTATAAGTCTGATTTCGAATGTGTTGATGCGGAAAGAAGTATCAAGAGAAAACTGAAATTTTTGTTCACCTTTGTCATCCGGTAGCACTGCATATTTGTTAATAAGGCTGGAAAAATTGATGGGTCATTGTAAGTGACCTACATACGTGTATAAAACTCAAATTGTTAACCTAAATTTTATTATCTTAATTGTTTAAGTTTTAAAGGCCACAATGTTTTGCATGATCCTTAAAATTCATAAATGACCACCTGTATTCTCCGATACCTGCCAAGAACATAAATGTTGTTCTTAATTTTGTGAATTGTAATTTTGTTTGAGGAGGGAAATTGGAGGAAACCCCAGATATGTTTTCAACTGTTCTAGTCTACAGCCAATATCATAAACAGTATTTGCTACTACATCTCTATATATTCCTAAGAAATTTTAAGGAATCTTTCGTTTATATTTACAGACAAAGGGAAATTTAAGTCATCAAGAATTAGAAAAAATAATTGAAAATATAGAAGACGTTCGTTTTAAAGGTAAGTCATTAAAACCCCAAACACTTACTTGTGTTTCTTTTGATCATTATGTTAAGTATGTTTCTACCACAATACACATTGTGTCATTCCACTGCCATGTTGACATGTCGTTATTGTCTTTGTTATAATTCCACAAGAGGTATATGACTCTCCGGTCATTTTATTGTTTGAGAATTGAACTTTGATCGAAATGGCGCTTCAAGCAAAAGCGGATATTAAAACGCACAATAGGTAGTCCACGAACAAATTTGATTGCTATATGTTTTTGTATTAATATCATGCTTTGAAGTTTTTTTTTTTTTAAATCCGTTTATTTCTTGTTATGATTTGTAATGAATTACAATGTTTCCACGTATTTCTGAAATGTCAGCTTGATCGGTAATTAGCGACATTTCCCAACAGATCATATTGCGCCCCAACTAATGTAATTAAAAGCACATTGGAACATGTATAGAACATATCAATGTATCATCGGAACAGCTTCATTTATTGTGGGAGAACCATGACATACAAACTCAAGGTTGTTGTATTATGACATTTCTCTCGTTAAAGCTCGTGTTTTTGTAACCTTGACAAATAACGAAATACAGTGAAAAAGGAAAAAATAATTTAGACAACAAGCACAAGCGTAGGGTGTATGTATAACTGTTCTAAAGGCACTTGTCGAATATATGTCCTGGTATTGACTCAGCCTCCCAAGATTTATGTTCCATATACCTATTCAAGAAGAGTTTTCATTCATGCAGTTTTACACTAATGACATCAAATACAAGATACATTTTATCACATAAAAAGGTAAATTTTGACAGAATCTAAATAAAAATGTGGAAAATAATTGAAACGATGGCAGTTATTTTGCTGCGTATTTATATATATATATATTAATAAAAGATCAATAAATATCTTACCCGCACAACCAGTGGAAAGCGATCCAGGATACAATGTATTGCACTAATGACACATGCAATAAATATTTCATGGGCGAATGCACAAGGTAACAGACGAATTATTAGATAAACAATAGATTAACATACCATTTTTAAACCATAATAAGATACGTTATTGCCTAATTAACCCCAAATCGTTTTAAGGGTTTATGCATCATTCCTTTCAGTAACTATATCACGGTTGTCTCCCTTGTAAGATTGTACAAAATACAGATATGTGAAGAGAACCTGTCTATACTTATTAAGAATTAGATACAGTGGTGCCAAATAATTAGTTTAACTGCATCATACAATTGTTTTGTCCTTCTAGGACTCATCAGGGATGATACTAACCTGAAGTTTGCATCTATGAGGCGACTGGTGGCTAAACTAGATTTTATCAAAATCGAAATTACGTTAACAGTGTTAAGTAATTAAAACTGTTTAACAGATGCATCTCTGCTTTAATGTTTGAAAATATAAAGTTTGCAATGTTATATTACCCAGAGAAACGGAGACGGCACTAACAGTTTAAAACATAATTGGCGCTTACTTCAAGCTTTACACCACAGAAACGCTCATAAAACCATGTTATCTAGAACTAAACACCAAAACGTTAACAACTAAACATCGCACAATAAACACACAAAAAGATGTCAGTGTTGACAATACTTGCTAATGACCATCTACAATATTCACAGAATCTAATTTCCTTTGTCGCGGCAATCACTTATAAACAGGAAGCTGCTCATTTGTCTTTTATACTCTACAACTTCATCACCTTTGGTGTTAGGACACGATCATTAATCTGTAGGCAAACGTCACAAGACCTGACGGTGAAATATTTTCAGATCAACGTCTTTCTGCAGATATGTTCGTACATCTGTATTTGAAAAAATGATAATATTTGATTCCTAAACTTCACAAGATCCGTATAAATCCGTCTGACTGTTCAACAAAATTTTGTTAGAACTGCTAACCACCATTCTTAGCATTATCAAATTTGAGTCACAATCATTTTGTGATGTAGCTTCCTCAAGGAATGGAATTTTTAGCATTTTGAAACCCCTCAAAAGAACTTTTGCCCAATCGTCTACACCCTCTTTCTAAAACAGTTCTTTTCTAGGAACGTTTGATTTATCAACTCTGTATACCATCATACCACATACTAAACTGAAAGAACGCCTCCGTTCTCCTAATATAGCTATATCGAAGCGTATTTCTCGCAAAAAAGTCAAAATCAAAGAAGACATATACGAGGTTTCTGGTTGACAACATCCTCGTCAATTCTGGTGGTAAGATCTTCTACCAGGCTATTGGCATGCATATGAGAACTAGTTGTGACCCTCAGCTGGTTGATCTTTTTCCCTACGAGACTTACTTTGTCGAAAAGATTATTAAGACAGGTCACAAAGACTTTGGATAGTCGTTTAATTTCACCTTTCAGATATATTATTGACGCCTTGTCTTTAAATTATCAGAAATTTATTGACCACGTGCATCGAATATACCAACCAGAAAGATACCACAGACTTTTATTACATCAGCCACTTATTTCAATCTTTACTACAACGAAAGCAATGTGGACAGCTTTCCACTAAACTGTATGGTAATCATTGTGATTTTAATTTTTTCATTTCCCGATATCAACAACCCTTCTTCCCCCACTTTTGGTGTTTACATATCGCTGATTATTCGATAATCATTGCCTGGTTCAATTAATACGATTTTCAAGAAATCGTCAACTAAGGAACGAACTCGTTACACAGGATTTCAAAATATGAAAGTTATAGTGATCTCATTGAAAAATATTGTCTTTATTTTTGCGATATAAGGCTTGGCGTGTTTGATGCTCGTAAATTTGCCTTTTGGTTGCTTTGTTGTATACCTTGTTCTCAGTTGAGATTGTGACATTGCTTCCTTCGACTGACCAAGGTTTACATGGAGGGTGTCGTCGATGAGGCAGAAGATTCCGCCTCTCTTCCGGAACACCTGGCCTTATTCTCCATGTACTTTTCAGGAGTTTCAGTGTAAATCTTCCATTTGTTCATATTTTGCCATAACTTAATGACATGTTTGTTTGCATTATCGCTACGCTGACAAATTGGTATTTATTTTATTAATTTATTTATGTATTTATTGTCATTTTTATTTTGTGTGCGAGATAGGCGATTGTTCTGTGATTACAACTCCTGTAAAGCTCATGTTCTTCATTAGTTTTCGGTTAACGATGTGGTACAGGTTTATCAACTCATCTAAATGAGTTCTGACACTGATATCAGATCCGAATATTGGCGGGAGATTGATGTAATCTGACATAACTAAATTTCTGCCGTGTAGTCAGGTTTACAATTAACCTGTTATCAGTATAACAACAAATCATATACATTTTGTAAAGCTCACCCGAGTGAATAGCATCTTTGAGTACAAATTAAGAATCAAATGCAATATAGCTTAATGATGAATTGAACTGCATCATGCAACTGTCCCACAAGAACTCAGTGATAAGGACCTTAATTTTGAAACCGATGACACGAGCTTAATTTCCCACTGTTTCGATGTAAGTACAAAACTTCATGGTGGCAGCTACGTTGTGAAGTCTAGTTAAATTTATTTTGTATGCAATAACAAAATTTACAATTGTTTCCTTGTTACTGAGCAAATATTCTTCGGTTCTTTCATAATCAGAAGTGGAAATCCAGGTATAATCCTATTTATTTATTGTATAGAACAGAGTGAAATGTCTTTGATGTAATACATGTCAATATGTAAGCAATGTGAAATAACCTTAACACATTAGAGATTGAGTATATGTATCATGCGTGACCAAACGATAATTTTATAACAAATATATTCTTTAAAACATCAGTGTCTACCAACATTTGCATATTCCTTATTATGATGTTCAGCTGTATTAACATTATAAAAAAATGTTTACCTTTGTACATAATTACTTAAATCTCAACATGCTAAAGTCAAAAGTATTGCTAAAAGACGTTTACCGCCAACCAACATTCAATGAAAGTTTACTTATCAGTAATTAGGTATTGTGTAAGAAGAGTAAAGTATTTAACGAATGTTTCAAAAATAATATAGCATGCAGACATCAACGGAAAAGTAACCTGTTGTCTATAGAGGTTATATTTACAATTTCCATTTCAGGGACGTCAACACCTTTAAAACATTTGTATATACAAAAGTTGATACCAAGAAGTCTTCATTACGTCACCTACGATGGCTCCATCACACATCCTGGATGTCACGAAACAGTTACGTGGATGATCATGAACAAACCAATATACGCAGGATCACAACAGGTAAAAATTAAATTATCAATGTGATTAATCTTAAACGATCACTACTACTGTGATATAAGGAATCATTAGTCATCATTAGTAAAATTGTGATTGTCAACAAAAACAGGTCTGTGCTCCTAATCACTTAGTCGGAATCCGCAGTTGTGGTAAATGGAGTAAAGGTCTAAATCAAAATTACATATTGAATATTTGGCTACAGGTTCCTAATAAGATAACAACAGGCAAGACATCGCTTAATAACAAGAGGTGAAACATCGCTACATGATATCAGGTAAAGTCTCACTACTAAATAACAGGTAAAACATCGCTTACAACAAGAGGCAAGACATATCTTAATAACAACAGGTAAAACATTGCTACATAATATTAGTTAAAACATCGCTTTATAATGACAGGTAAAACATTGATTTATAATGACAGGTAAAACATCGCTTTATAATGACAGGTAAAACATTGATTTATAATGACAGGTAAAACATCGCTTTATAATGACAGGTAACACATTGCTTTATAATGACAGGTAAAACATTGCTTTATAACAATAGGTAAAACATTGCTTTATAACAACAGGTAAAACATCGCTTTATAATGACAGGTAAAACATCGCTTTATAATGACAGGCAATATGTCGCTATATTTAACGAAGTAATAAACTCAATATTACAACACGTAGATTATATTGCAGATTATGTTTTTCAATGGTAAAAAGGAAATGTTTTCGGCCGAGTGTTGTTCGGTAGATTACATCTGAAAGATGAACTGTTTCATATTACACGAATAAAGATCGGAATTGTAATCATAATAAATTCCGGAGAGACTATTCTATGTAAGGAGTATTCAGAGTTCGTCTAATGTTATCTCTATAGAAGCAGTGTTCTGTGAAAGCGTTGATCTTATGACATTATGATAGATTCAATTTCTAACGACAGAAATGTCAGATCTATCAAATTATGTTGGGAAATTGATCAATTTGCTCCCTGCGACTCCTTGCGGATTTGTGTTACAGACAGGGAAGATAAATATCCTACACTTTTCTGCCTGTACAGCATCAGTACAGAACATATCTCTTATGGATAATGAGACGCGTGTATTGGATATTAGCCATCTATGTCAAATACTTTTCTGGTCAGAGATAAGCTATCTTATATCTATTTTGACACAATCTGTAATAATGGAATAGGATGTACATTTCTATGATTGATATTTCGAAAAGTTTGAGATTTCATCATCGTTTCACAAGGACAGTTTGCTGACTGTACATGTTTAACAAGGTATAGATATGTGTCCTGTTTTGTTATTGCCAGTTTCCTAACCAAACATGGATATTCACTTAATAGCATTTAGAGTTACAACGAATAAAAGATATGCTCTGTTTGTAGACTGGATACATAAACTCAAACACAGACAAAAACTCTGATTAAAACTGAAATGTGGCATTTATTAGATTAAGAAATGACGACAGAAACCATTAAGCTTACAATTTTCTGTCAATTAGTTGTATAGTCATCAACTGTACATACTGCTATCCAATCAAAGATATCTTAACAATATACTGAGGACTAAAAAGGTGGGGATCAAATTACGCCCCATCCAAGTAGATTCATTGATATCGATATTTCCAAAATTGAGGAGGATTGGATGGGTTGCGGTTGCGAATTCAGCTCTGACCCATGTGGTGGTGGCGACAAACGAAAAAACAGAAAATTCACGCATGCGTAGTGCTCAGCTACGAACGACAGCCTGCAAGGAAATTATCGTCTTCAGCTTGAACATACCAAGTAGCCTCCCTTGCTGTTAATCATAGACGATCAACGCTGAAACCATTTATATTTGCATACATAAATTAACTTTTATGTACAGTTTGAATCGAATTGAGCTGTTACGTTCAAATATAATGCACATATTAGAACGCTCTCAAACCATTGCAGGTTTTAAAATATATTAACATTTCAATATCTCCGTTACCGTAAAAAATTCTATTTCATATAACAAAACACCCGATACACTGTTCAGTGCCATATTTGGGTTCGGGATATTGGCGTAGTTTTCTACATTTACTGTTATTTGATTAATTTCAGATTGACGCTTTCCGGAAGCTGCGTCAGAGTGGTCCTGAAAATCCGATGGCTTTCTTCCGAGACAACTTCCGGCCGACTATGCCAGTTAACCGAAGATCCATTAGAACTAATATAAATTTTGTAAGTCGATTGTTTCTTGTAGATGCAAAACCTGCATAACTTGTCTGGGCCCAGCTGTTACCTACTTACTTCTCGTCTAATCGTACAATTTGTGTGTTTGGTTTTTTACCTTTTTATTTACAAAGCAGTGAAAATGTAGGCATAAAACAATACAAATGAAATGTCCTCAACGTTTCACATTCATTTATATAAAGTATGAACATTGCTTTAATCCAGTGCAATTTATCTCCCGTTCAAATACATTCTAGTATATAATAGTGTAGAGAAATTTCATATAAAAGAGAGATACACCAAACATAATGATTAACCCAACATATACATATTGAATGAATGTTTTACACAAATCTCCAAATCAGGAAAGGATAAATATCAGAAAATAAAAAACAGTTTACATAAACTTCTTCCAATATATAAAACCCACTCCATAGCTTCAAAGAATTTTCTAGACTGAGGAAAACGGTTTTACGGCTATTATTCACCTCCATGAATAGAACGAGATCACAGGTGAACCTGCTGACGATCAACGTCTGCACATGACCCTCCCGAAGGACTTCAGGTCTCCTACTCACATGGCAGGTCTGAACTTGGTAGGACGACGTTACTTGTTATTCTGATCTATCGGATGTAATAATTTGACTACAAGTCTTTCAACCCAACACTCCTCTGATAACGTATGGCAGGAACGAATACTATCTCGTTATAGCAGTCGGTGGAGTATCACAGAGGAGGAAACAGTGTCCTCAGTTATCAGCGCCTCCAATGATAGGTAGGATAAATATGTCATAGTTGACGAGTTTAGTGGATGCTAGAATCACGTGGGCTATATACACATTACGGCCTATAATGACAAATAGTTCTAGACATCAGTTTAATTACAAAACTCAAGGCCGATTCCTCATTCATCTCGAATCTCGAAACCAACCAAGGGCATCTGACAATTCCTTAAACGTCAACGTCATCATCATGTTTTCCTGTTTTTTTTATTACTATTATTATTTTGCAACATCTTGCCTAAAGTCAACCAGAGACACTTGGGCATTTAACCAAGATAATGTATACATCTGTACTTTAGTGATACCTATTGAACATTGTAGAAAACACCTAACGGTAAGAAAATGTTCGGAAATGTAAACGTCTTCTGCTTCATCGACGTTAGTAATATCATATTCCTGAAGGAGGAAAAAGTTAAAAATAACGAAACAACCGGACAAATCGATATTCAGTAATAGGTTTCGTTTTACCAGCATACAGTAAACCCGTTAAATGATTCCATGACGAAATTCTGAGGTGATTGGTCACCTTTTGAAACTATTGAGTACATTATTATGAACAGAAAAATACCTAATGCTTTTGGTGCTAGATATCGAAAATGTATAAATATTTACAACAATCGATACTGTTGCAAGCTGCTTCTAATGAGGTATCTTAACTCTTAGCATCTAAATAACATGTTAAAAAGATACAAAAACTTGGCATTCTAGCTACACAGGTAGCATAATCCAAAAATGGCAAGATAGCTTCAAAGCAATTGAGCCAAAATATGTACACGGGAAGGATAAAACGAGAAAAGATGAGACTACTTAAAGCGATTGAAACAAATTATCCTGCACACGGGTAGGATAAAACGAGAAAAGGCGATACTGCTTAAAGCGATCGAACCAAAATATCATTTACACAGGGATAAATCAAGAAGAAGCAATATTACTTTTAGCGATTCGGCTAAAAATAGCAAGTAAAAAGTTAAGATAAAAGCATCCTTGTGAGCCATTGGACCAAATCACCCTTACATGCTTTGATGTCACTGATAGCGATATGCAATTAAATTTCTACATTGGTAAGCTGTGGAATATGTTCTGTTTATACCAAAGGGAAATAACCCGAAATCAAGTACAACATATACAGTTTGTACTATAATGTGTCTTTAATATAGATAATGAACAAAAATTACATCAAGAAGGATTTTGTTTGTTAATTAGTCTTAAGTAGTCATCAAAGGAACAGTGTAAACGCGGCAGAATCTCTTGATAGCTGTAAAACTATTCACGCGAGAATTTACATTAAAAACGTCATCTCTTTGTCCTTATAACTGAAAAAAATGATACTTTGTCCGATATGTTATCGCATTTATTGGTATATATATACCAGCATGTTCCTTCAGTCAATACTAGACAAATTACACTAAGAGCATTCATATAATCTTTTCACGCATTAATTACTTGAAAGGTGTAATACAGTAATGCACTCACTGGCGACGTTTTGTTGGCTTACCTTTCTGACTGATGACATCTATGTCACTGGGTACAGTCTACACCGAGAACGACTAAGTAAACAACCGATCGATGTATTTTCCCAGTTTAATCTTCCAGATAGATAATTACATCCTGTGGTTTTACCTTTGTTTTCATTTTTTTCGTTCATGAGGTAATCTAATAGAGCTTACTTCCTGAACTGTACCGTGTTCATTCAAACGTTTTCATAAATATTACCACGTTAATTTGTCAGATATGAAGGGATTTTAGAAAGTTTTGTAAATATGGAAAGATTTCAAACCACTTCTTTATTTTTTTCTTGGGAGAGAAATAATATAGGTGGTCAAAGTATGAGAATAACCACATTTAATTACCATAAATTCAAATTATTGATTATTACCCTCACAACGTTAGATTGTAATGTGTTAAAAGTTAGGAGAATTCAATAAATAACTTAAGCAGGTATTGTGAAATGAGAACAAAACTCAATAGAATGAAGCAATGACCCGTAAAACGGAGATAAATGTGATTCTATATTGATAATTTTAATCAACATTCTAATCATCAACGTTCTGAAGTTGTGCACCCAAACCAACAGAGGTCAGATGAACAGAAATGCTTTTGTGAAACGGAATGTTACAAAAAATAAAGGCTTGAAAAGGTGGGAAATGTTTACTGAGTAAAACATAATTACAAAGGTGGACAAGCTGTATCTGAAACTAATGTAATGATGGATTTTAGACAATTGTTGTCTACTCCAATACCATAACAACATCTTATATTGATGTGATATCTACTTTTTATTAGAATATATACTGGAAGTTATTACCTCCCTTCAGCCTGTTAGGTATCCATTGAGTGATAATGCTTTATCAATATATTGACAAATACTCTCCTGTTCTTTAATGTTTTTATCTATTTTATTTGTTTAAATATCAAAATAAAAATTCATAACTATACACACTGAGAGTACTACACATGCCTACATGGGAGTATAGATCAACTTATGCTTGCAATATAGACTCATTGGCATCCCAAGATAACAATGGCAGTCACATTCTAAAGGGCAGTTTAACTTTTAATTCGAGTCCAAACAACACAAAAGTTATTTTTGGATGGAAAGCTAATGTTTTATTCGCGAAAATGAATCAGTTGTAGTTATACGACGAGTGCATATGAAATCTTGGCTGGTACTGATAGGATTCAGATATTAATCACAATAGAATGTTCTGTTGGTTTAGCAAGGGGTTAAGGATAACTTTGGCCATCATTACTGATCAATGGTATATGACTAGATAACCACATGTTATGTAATGTAGGATCCATTTTTTGATACTTGCCTCACTCCTTCCATCACCAATATACATAATTCAGAATGCCGCTGATGATTCGATATTCAACAATTTGTCATTTGTATTATACTGTTCATGACCATTGTACAGCACTGAGGACAAAGCAGTTAAACTAGTTTCAGCAAATCGAGAGATCATGGCATTACCTTCACTGTAATTTGATCTAGACCCACAAGACTTTTCTTATTAATGAAGCTTAATAGGCTCACCTTTTCTTATCATTTTTCATTCTCCTCATGTTGTTCAGTTCATGCTGTCCTCGATACAGCCAACCACTTTAAAATATTCATCTGTAACAAAGTAAACCGACTAATTTTTATCTCCTGAGATTCTAATTGGTGTTTTCTAGCTGTTTTTTCTATGGCATGGAAGTGAAATTACTTATTCAGTCAAGCTGAAGTTTCTCGGGAAAATATGTAGTATGTTTTTGTTGTTTATTCACTGGAAATCACTTGATTTTCGTATATAACCACTTTAAACGATTGGCGAATGTTTTACTTTGCGAAAGAAATGTGTCTCTTTTGTCTGTGCAATTACAGACCTGAAATATTATTTTTAATTATCGACTGCTCAATACAATCAAAACCAATTTTTAAAAAGGAAAAGAGAAAAATAAAGAAAAAAATCCTATGTCATCTCCATTGTTTAAAGTATATCTCGGTTGATATAGATCACTTTAGGAAATGTCATAGCTGTATTGTATTGTAAAGATAACCAAGCACTTTTGTGTATTAAATACGGCTTTATAGATTCTGATTCATAATGAAACTGAAGGCCTTAACAAAAATGTCATTAGCAAGTTTATGGGTTTAAATTTCAATTAATTTTTTATCACTGTTTTTCACTATATTTCCAGGCAAAGGGTTGCTCGATGGAACGAAATATGCATTATCAAGGTATGTGTTATGCTAATTAAATGTACTTTTACAGCTATATGTTTTATCGCTCCTTCAGGTTTATAACTATCTAGAGTCTATCCAGTTAACATTCAGATTAAAGCTAACCGTCTAACCAGCTTTAATCAAAACCTAACCCATACGATATTTATCTAAACGTATCGTCATATTTCTACCAGTACGTTCATAGACAATTGTAGTTTCGAATTTGCATCCAGTATTGCCTCTTGAACTTATCATTGACTGGACGATTGAAAATATGACGTAAGTTGTGTTAAGTTAAGGTTGATCACATCTAGTATGCTATTAAAGTATTGTGGTTTATGGGAGTAACTATAAATTTCAACTTTAAAAAATTCTTCTAATCTTGAATCCTGTGAATAGCGCCACAAATAAAAATGTAAAGAATTACTTGATGTTCTGCATCATCCATTGATGTGGTTGTTACAGCTACCCATCTCAATTAAAAATGATTTTTTTTTTGTGTTTTATCAGTGACCTAGCTTTGAACACCATTGGCCTCTAGCATCAATGACGAGTCATCGAATACTTGACAATTGTAAAATATACTGTTAAGATATCATATAGATAAATTATACTAACTCATCAGTTTTCTTGCAAATATCAACGAGACAAATATTTCATTTGATTTGGGTGAATACAATGGATATCAATTTATAGTATTTGATATATTTATTTATGATTAACACGTTGGCGTATAAGATTTTTAGGAACTATTTATGAAAGCATCACCTGGTGCAGTTTATGTCTTTTGTAACTCTTTTGTATGTTTTCAAAATTTACACCGGAAGGTGCTTTATGATTTCTATTCATCATTTGCCCTAGTCATTAATGTATAAAATTAAGTCAGCACACACCCATAAACTGTTACGTACTCTAATCAACAGGAGTATTAACCTTTTCGAAGTTCTCCTATTGGGACAATGTGTTCAGACTTTATGGAGTTAAAACATTGATAGCTATCTTCTGGGATCTTTCACAACACATTTCAGCTGTATTCGATGACAAGATTTTTGGTTACATGATGAAGTGATTTTGATATTTCTATAGGTTGAGGTTGAACAAGAGAGACTTGTTAGTGGGTTTATTTGTGACAACTGCAATCAGATGAGATAAGAGTTGTAAAGAACGGTTAAATGTTTCGTTCACAATAACAAAGTTAATAAGGCAGCGTGGCACAGACTGCAGTCATATCCTACACAATAGCTTGATCTTATATAGAAATCTCTTAGAAATAGCAACAATCGCGTCGTTTTTCTTATTGAAATGTGCAAATAAACGACGGTAGGACGCCGACTAGACGGCCTAACAGAATAGTTTACATCCTGTCTGTCTGTTTCGACCACTTAAATAATTCTTCTATCCAAACACACACTAAAAACCTGTAAAATGTTATAAATATTTTATAACAATAATACAGAAATACACTTAGAAATCGATGATCTTGTTGTAAATAAGGCGGTGCGAGGTTGGTGGTCACACCATGTGAAATACTGTTAGAGGAGGAAGGTGGGTGGTTTCGTCATTGAATCAAATTTTTACGCTGTCAAATTAGATTAAGTTTCATGTGTAAAAAAAATTGACTCCTCATCAAAGTTAAAAATCAAAATAGCGCCAGTTAAAAACATATCAAAGGCTGTAAACAAATGGATTCCGTATAAATAGATAGCAATATCACAAAAAATGATATTAAAATATTCCACATATAAAACGGTCACCGTATCAAAACAGGACGATACCAATATAGACTGTGTATAAAAACAAACAAGATATGAAAACTGATATCAAATTAAAACCGACATTAATGACAAACACGTTATCATAACACAAACCGGTATCAGTGACAAACACGCGCTCATAACACAAACCGATATCAATGACAAGCACGTGATCATAACACAAACCGATATTAATGACAAACACGTGATCATAACACAAACCGGTATCAATGACAAACACGTGATCATAACACAAACCGATATCGAAGGACAAGTAGGTGATCATAACACAAACCGATATCAATGACAAACATGTGATCATAACACAAACCGATATCAATGACAAACACGTGATCATAACACAAACCGATATCAGTGACAAACACGTGATCATAACACAAACCGATATTAATGACAAACATGTGATCATAGCACAAACTGATATTAATGACAAACACGTGATCATAACACAAACTGATATCAGTGACAAACACGTGATCATAACACAAACCGATATCAGTGACAAACACGTGATCATAACACAAACCGATATTAATGACAAACATATGATCATAACACAAACCGATATCAGTGACAAACACGTGATCACAACACAAACCGATATCGCACGACAAACACGTGATCATAACACAAACTGATATTAATGACAAACATTTGATCATAACACAAACCGATATCGAAGGACAAGCACGTGATCGAAACACTAACCGATATCAATGACAAGCACGTGATCATAACACAAACCGGTATCAGTGACAAACACGTGATCATAACACAAACCGTTGTTAATGACAAACACGTGATCATAACACAAACCGATATTAATGACAAATACGTGATCATTACACAAATTGATATCAATGACAAGCACGTGATCGAAACACTAACCGATATCAATGACAAACACGTGATCACAACACAAACCGATATCAATGACAAGCACGTGATCATAACACAAACCGATATTAATGACAAACACGTGATCATAACACAAACCGATATCAGTGACAAACACGTGATCATAACACAAACTGATATCGAAGGACAAGTAGATCATAACACAAACCGATATTAATGACAAACATGTGATCATAACACAAACTGATATTAATGACAAACATGTGATCATAACACAAACCGATATCAGTGACAAACACGTGATCATAACACAAACCGATATTAATGACAAACACGTGATCATAACACAAACCGATATCAGTGACAAACACGTGATCATAACACAAACTGATATGAAAAGACAAACACGTGATCATGACACAACCCGATATCAGTGACAAACACGTGATCATAACACAAACCGATATCGCAAGACAAACACGTGATCAAAACAAACCTATATCGAAGGACACACACGAGATCATAACACCAACTGATATCATAATTATAACTTATAACAGCAATCAACAAGAACATGTTTCCTGTTTTTCTTTATATTCTAAAAAATACATATAAGATACAAAAAAATAACAATGCACAACATTCTACAACACGCGCCGGATATCAATAAATGTATAATAGATGCGTCGCTTCATTCCTGTCGCCGATAGATGTGTACAATACAGTACGATACAAATGTCTTATGTTTATACAACCTGTATCGTCCATTGCCCGTCATAAAAACAGTAATTAAACAAGACAGACGTTCTTTGTAAGGGGTACCTTTACGGTTTACTTTATATAATTTTGTGAAGGAGCGGATATTATTCCAAGTTTGTTAGCATGTGTATATTTTCCGCTCTATTTCAGTGAATGATTTGTTCAAACATTGAAAGGCGATGGACTATCCTTTCAGTCACCTATCCCAAATATTGGAGTGTGACGGGGAACCTGGATACGGAGCTCTGGTCTGACGTCACCACCCTCAAGTAGGACCCGCGATGACATCATAAAGGACGTGTGCAACAGGTAAAATTATATGTCTCACATCTATGTCAATTTACCTGTCAGATTTCAATCAACTATAAAACCTTATATGAAATATGCAATTTAAACATAAGGTTTTTTTTTCCTATTTTAACTAGATAACACTAACCGACGATCAGAATCCACTGACCTCCAGCTGCATACAAATATATATCGTTATAATTACGCTTCAAAACGTATCTACACCACTATCTCCAATATCAGGGCATATTTTTATACATTTCTCTGTGAACTACTATACATAAGCTGAAAAGACATTTTGTTTTTCGATGAAATACCCTGTAGGACCATTCATTAGAATAAAGAGTCGAGTTGACTTAGTTGAGTCGAAGCTTTGATATATTCTGCCTTTGTGTGTTGAAAATGTGATATATTCTGCCCTTCTGTGTTGACACTGTGATATATTCTGCCCTTCTGTGTTGACACTGTGATATTCTGCCCTTGTGTGTTGACACTGTGATATAGTCTGACCTCCTGTGTCGACACTATGATATATTCTGCCCTCCTGTGCTAAAACTGTTGTCTTTATGTGTTGCCACTGTATTTAGTTTGCATTTTTGTGTGAATACTTTCGATATGCATTGTCCTTGTATATTGAAACTGAGATGTGCACTCTATTCAGAATGTCTGTCCTTGAACGCCCTTGTCGACACGCTGATGCTGAGATATGTTCCGGCCTTAAGTGTTAACTTTATATTATATTGACTTCTAAGTGTGGACACATAAGATATATTTTGATAATGTGATGTACCGATATTCTGTCCACTATCAACGCTAAGATTGGTAACTGAGTATTGACATATGTCACAGCAGTATTGCCATAAACGGCATATCCCTGGATTAAAGCTACCTAGTCCGAAAATAGCTGTATAAAGTCATTGACCAAGTTTTGGTTTTATTAACAGACTCAGAACTCTTAATTGAAACGCATCAACGCCTACTTCCCGAGTTTTTAACGTCTCTTTCCAATTTGGCGGTTTTCTCGGGAAATCCATCAGTTTCCGATATGTTAACAAAACGTGGGAATGCATCATAAAACGACTTCTCCTTAACTGGTCGACAAGAAAGACATCTGTAAGCGGGTGCTCTCGTAATTCTGCTAACTAGGCCCCTTCAGGGATGGCAACTCATTGCGTTTAGGCTTCTTTTATTAAAATGCTCCGCAGGCGGCCATTTTATTTCCATATGTCACGTGCGAAGTAGTCATTAATAGCGACGTTGAAGATTCAGAAGTGATAATTTGGAATCCCTGTTGATACTGAAGAATTATTTCAATTTCTGTGTAGCATTTATTGATTCCATTGACATATAAAGTT